TGAGTAGATGTCTCTGTTTTTCTTTGCAGTTGGCAGAAGGATTGAAGGTGGCTCTTGACACTACATTTGTACCAAACACAGGGTAAATATTTTCCATTACCCTTATCTATGGAGTTCCGGAATTTCCCATAACCTTTAGTTAGAAATAAGTGCTTAAGCATTGTATAAATGCTTAAAATTTACTGTAGAATATTCTGTAGGCACTGTGGAATATTTTGAAGGCAATGGACAATACCAGGCTCAGAAGGACAAGGTTTGCTAAAAATGATTCATCTGCTTTTTGGCCATTGGCAAATTTGTTGTTTTGCAGTAGGTACTATATTTTTGTAACTCCCCCCTTAAAAAGCTGGGTCTTACATGGACCACTTAACTCAAACTATCTTTGTGATGGTGTTGACCATCCTACTGCTGTTGACTCAGTGCCATAAGAGCACAAAGCAGAATTTTTTTTTTTCCCCGATGCTTTTGGGCAGATGTGTATGCACAACTGAATGAGGAGGCAGAACTGCGTAGGTACTGTGATAGGCAGTGCAATAGCACCTTTTTGTCTTTCTCAATTATCACGTATTTATTTTTGGTAGGCAGTAGAGCAAAGAAGGGGTGTTTGTGTCTGGGTAATGCACAAAGCTTGAGACTGCTTTGTAAATAATTACTGGTATTTCTTTATTGTTGGGGAGAGCCTATTGGAAAAATCAGAGTTTGAAATACTGCTTGGATGTAAGGAATTAGAAGCTAAGTCAAAAATGAGATGCCAGGCCTGGGTATGAGTGACAGGCAGCATGGTGTTCTGCTGTGTTTTCAGTGGGAGAGAAAGGAGGTCGGGGAGAGGATTAAAGATGTGGTAAAATTCTGTCTCAGTTATGTTAAGTTCGAACTGGTAGAAAAATGAGCGCAAAGACATATTGGGGAGAGAGGAAGAGGCTTCTCCAGAGGGACGGAAAAAGGCTGAGTGGATGACGTCTGGAGGATGAGGAAGTTCGTTTTCGATAGAGGAGACTGGCATCCAGCAGCAAAGAGGGAAGGAAAGCAAGCACTGCACATGATGGAACGTGGAGACAACCAAGCAGACAAAAAGTCACTGAAGGACAGAAAGGCCAACTATCGGTGCAGGATGTTATAAATCCTCCTGAAAGAAACTGGTGATGCCATAATGCAGTGCACTCACTTGTGGAGAATTTGCTGGTTTTTAGAGCATTAAGCAGAAATGCTTTTGTCTCTTTTGTTTCTTGAGGGTTTTAAGGAGTTTCAGAAGGTGGAGGAAAAGGTGGCACTACGTAAATATACATAATACCAATATTACCCTTATCTCATGCCCTCTTCAGCAGCTGTTAATGTTAAGTTTTGAGTAGGCATTACAGTCATGTAATTAAATGGCTTTAAGGGACACACATACTTTTATACTACTAGGGATAAAATTGCATGTTTCTCTCTGCAGGAAGAAGAGTGGAAAGTTGAAGACCTCCTACAAAAGAGAATATGTAAATCTAGGCTGCAACATAGACATCGATCTCTCTGGACCAACCATCTATGGCTGGGCAGTGTTGGGCTATGACGGCTGGCTTGCTGGCTACCAGATGGCCTTTGATACAGCCAAGTCTAAGCTTTCACAAAATAACTTTGCCTTGGGATATAAGGCAGGAGACTTTCAGCTGCACACTAATGTGTAAGTATTATCTGAGCCTAGAAAAACATTATCAGAGGAGTCACACTAAATGAATAGTGACCATTAATGGAGTTAGGTGGAAAGGTGGGTGGAGGGAAGGGTACACCGATTTGTTTCAAAATAATTTATATTCAGTGTTTTCATCTTCAGTACAACTAAAGCAGGGGCAACCTTCCAACTCTTGTCTGCCTTTTGAGACCTTGTTTCAGGGTAATTTTGTTTTTTGCGTCTATAAGATAGTGGCGGAAAGGCACTTTATAATGTTAATTTGGAATTAAAATCTGTAAACTTTAACTTCTATTTTGGCACTAGATAAAAGAGCCTTCAATTAAGCTACTGTACCTTCCCCTGCTCCCCACCAGACAAAGCTTCTGGCCCAGAAAAGCCTGAGGTGGGAGAGAGGTGTGTGTTGCATTGTGCTTGAGTGTTTCCAGCTGTCATCACAGCGTAGCTCTAGTCTTGGCATTCAGACGCTCTAGGTGTCTTTGAAGATGGTGTATTTAAACAACTGAGTCTCCTGGATTTGTCCCGTTACGTTTTTGCAGGCTTACTTTCTTAACTTAAGACAAGCGAGCAGGTTACCTGGGTTTTGGTGGGTTTTTTTTGTCAGAACCTCAAACCATAGGTCTCAGCTATTGGAAAGTCTTGTTCCATTCTGCAGGCAAAACTTACACTTTGGGTAAAAAATGTGAGCAGGGTTCTGCCAGCTCCAGCTAGGAAGTAGATGAGCATGGGTCCAGGGAAGTATTGCAGCTCTTGGTTCGTTTTAAGAGATAATGAAGAAATGATTGTAGGGAAGGGTTAATCTAAAGAGTTACTATTTACTAAATATGGCAAGGCTTGACACACTTGCATCTATTACAAACAGGAATGATGGCACCGAGTTTGGTGGGTCTATTTATCAGAAGGTTAACAATAAGGTTGAGACATCCGTCAATCTTGCATGGACTGCCGGCAGTAACAACACACGTTTTGGTATTGCTGCTAAGTACCAATTGGATGAGAAGACTTCCATTGTGGTAAGAATTTTGTTACTAGGAACAAGTATTTCAAGCTCCTTTAAATACTGAAAATTTGCAGTATGAAGCAGTTGTTTTAAATAGTTACTTAGAAAGTATGGTAGATGGCAAACTTGTGGCTTCTGTTGTGGTTCAAATTTAAATTGGGACCTTACAGGTCAAGTTTGTGAAATGATGCAAAAAAAAAAAAATCTAAAGCACTCTTTTGTCCATGGTGAAATAGTTGCTAGTCTGAGTAGCGTGCCTGGAGCCTAAGCAAAAGGTAACAAAAAGATGCAGTGTCCTTTTAATTCTCATCTAATGCAGAATGTAGAACTGTACTATAATAAAATGATGGAAGTTCAGCTGATCTTACAGCCTTCTCCTAACAATCGATTAACCCTTGAAAGTCAGCTGAGGTCCTGAGAGATGCATTGTTACTGATGCTTGCAAATTCTTGCAGAAATGTTAGGGCCAAAAAACCCAAAATGGTTTAAATAGTGAGAAAGAAAAAGAGAGAGAGAGGTTCAGGAGACCAAACGTCCATGGGGAAGTGACAGTGAATAAAAGTAACTATGTGTACATTCTAACACTAAGAACTGAAGTAGCAAGCATTTGTTACGCCTTAAAACAAGAATTAGTTCCGGGACAATTCAGCCAAAATTAAAGATGGGAAGTACTATTGTAAACAGCTCAAAACTTAGTAATGCAAAAATGAGTTTGCATATTCATATCTTTATGGCTTATTTAAAAAAAATCACTGCTTAGCAATTCGTGGACAGGGGTCTGTGAACAAGACAGACTTCATTGGCTGCTAAGGGACTGTAGTAACTAGCCCTTTAAAGGATATAAAGAGACATTGCTGGGGGCAGCAAAGGACGGGGTGGCATTTTATGTAGGCATAACGGGTCACAATTTGAGGGAAAGATTGGAACTATTACTTAAGCCTGTTACAGCTTAAGCTGGAAGCTCTTGAGAAGAGGAAGATTGGAATATGCCTCTCCTAGAGGTTAGTCTACAAGTAGCTGGAAGAGTTAATGTATAAGCCACCTTCTCAGGGCACTGGGACAATGCTGGTCGAATATTTATACAATGTGTATAAATACTGTGATTTTTCTTTTCCTGTAGGCTAAAGTGAATAATGCCAGCCTGATTGGAATTGGTTACACTCATGCCCTCCGACCTGGTACGTAAGTCCAACTGGTAGCAGCATATAGTACTACACCACGGGTTATTTTACTGTCATCTCTAGAACAGAATAAATAAACCAAGTAGCTAGAAATCTTACCTAGGCTCATAGAAGTAAAGGATGTGTACGTACAGAAGTTCCTATAGCAACTAAGACACATTAGTGAGGCTCAAGTACTTGAGGGAGGATATTGTCCAAGGATATTCGTGTATGAAGGGTCTCATTACTTTCTTTCCTAGGTGTAAAGCTCACCCTCTCGAGCTTGATTGATGGCAAGAATTTCAGTGCTGGAGGTCACAAAGTTGGGCTGGGATTTGAGCTGGAAGCTTAATGCAGCTTGAAGTAAAACAGGTGGTGCTCTGGAAGATGAAGGAAAAGTATACCCAGTGTGTTTCGGCCTTAATATTACTCTGAAATTTCAAGAAGTGTGAACTTTCTATTCTTCCAAAGAATCATTTTAACCCAACACTGAAGTCCAGAGAGTGCCAGCACATCAAAGGAAGATACTTGAAGGCATGCATGGAAGTTGTGATGTTTGTGCCACATTTCACTTCAGTTTCCTGTATTTTATTCTGTTCCTAAAAACAGATGAAAATCCCACCTCTTCCCAGTATTGTATTGCATCCTGCATGTCCTGTAATTCACAACCTTTTATAAAAGGTGGTCTTTGTGCTGTAGTGGAAACTTGGGTTTACATCAGAATGAAATAAATTGGTCACAGTTGGAACACAATGTTGGTGTGTCTTGTCTCTCGGTGAGGTTCAGAACAGCTGGGCTCCATGCAGCGGTGTTTTGGGGTTGGTGGTTTTTTTGGTGCAACTTTAAGCATGGTTAATAGATAATCTGCAAATGCTTTGTTAAACTGTATGTGTACACAAAGACTTCCTTCTCTGTGGTCTCTAGGATAACATCGTTACAACTCTCGTGCTTTAGAGACCTGCACAGTGAAAGCAGCTTCATTAAAGTGTTATTGAGGGTATCAAAAAGAGCAACCCAAAAGTTTACATGTTTTAGATAATTTCGTTCACATATAGGAAATGAGTATTAGGTAAGTACAACCGTTACACTTAAGGAAAAAAGTGCAAATCAGCAAAATGAAGAAGCTAAGTTCACAGTTCAAGTATCTAAGGAAGGTGACATCTACCAGTGACTGTGCAAGCTGATTGCATGTGTTGTCCATTGTTCATGAGAAAGCCTAAAAGGCAGCAGAACATGTGATGCCTACGGGAAGATACATCAGGACAGAGAATAAGAATATCTGCTGTCTTAAGGCACAATTAAGAATATTTTCCAAGCAGTTAGAACAGGCATTTCCTACTGTATCGTTGTGAAAAAAGTGCCTGAGAGGTGGATCCTAAAGGCTAGGCCATGTGTATCACATACGCAGTAGGTGACAGTAGAAGGAGGCATTTGAACTTCCCTTCTCGGAGGCAACAGCTTTTCACAGTTTGCTTCCCGAAGTAGCATGTCTTTGGAGGCAACTGAAGTGATTTTACATCTGGGTTTGTTCTGGACTGTTTGTTTCTTCTACCTGAAGCTGCAGCCAGCTCCAATCTAGAGCCTAAAAAATAAACAAAACTACAAAGTTCAACACTAGCTTACAGTTGTGATTTCTCCAGTATAAAGGGGAAGCAATTTAAAATATTTAAAAAATTTGAGAACAAATTGGTCAATACAGCTTTGTGATGAACTATGCAACTGCTGTAAAGGAAACCCTTAAGTTACTTATTTTCTCTAATATTTTACTTTCTTTTCAATATTCTGCTTCATTAAATAAGCATCCCTGCCCACCACTGTATTGCCACCACAAGATCATCCCAATTTTAAGAGTGCAATTTTGCAGTATTTTTGAACAACAGCCAAGTGCCTTCCCCCATCATTTATTGTTCGGCACAACTTCAGTCCCCAGCGCATGGCTCCAGGTCTCAGCAAGCAGGAAATATGTCAGTCAGCAGTTCAAGTGGGGGAGTGGGTGCTTTCTGTCTCCCACAACTCCTACTCTGTCCTTGTCCAAAAGACTAATATGCAGATTTCTATTAGCCATATTACTTATTGGTGGCAAGGTTACACAAACAGAAGTTTGAAGCCGTGAGCTTCCCCAGTCCCTTTATAGAAGCATATTAAATACATTACCATGAAGCTCTGCTCTTGATCCTTCATTGTGTCATGCATCACATTTTCTAGTTGGGTACAGATTTTCTGTGATTCCAGCAGTAGCTCCTCACTGAAAATGACAATTATTACACAATTATTTTCCACAGCAGCTTTGTTTAAAGAGATGCTGCCTCTACCTTTAAGAAATATTTCTGGGAGGTATGCTGCAGAGCACAGAAGTGTATCAACCTTTACCAGTCAGCTCATAAGCTAGTAATTCATATTGCAACTGGGAAAGTTGGTGGCATCCTCAGATTTACTGGGACTGGGGAAAGGAAGCACATTCCAAGTTGGAGTTGGGTTCCTAATATGTGGAGTCACTTTTGCTATAGAAAAAGCTGCAGAACAGCCTATAAACTAACGGATTAAGCAACATACAAATAAACAAACTAAGGTTTCTCTTTCCAACAGGTCACCCAATTTATTTCAGCAACCCAGAACTAAATGTGCTGACTTATAGCAGTCTCTCCTTTATGATACAGCTCAGCTACTATCACCTTACATGACAATGCTCCAACAATTCCTGTGGCAGCATATTTCAAGTAAGCCCAACCATTCTGGGTAAAACAAACCCGTTATTATTGAGGCAGGGGGAAGTGAAGCTGTACCTTGTTCCCCATTTTCCATAAGGAAGATTCACAAGCCCCAGGAAGTCCAACTACTAGGTGGAAAAGACTGCTGAACACAAAGCGTAAAATGCAAGAAAGCTTGTGTGTCATTATTTCACAAAGCAGGAGTCCCAGCTTTGTAGTGCTAGAATTAGCAACTACAGAAGTCCAGACTTTGCCTCACCTTTTCCTGACAGATTCCGATAAATCGTAGGTTCCAGAAGAGACCTGCAGCAGCAGCTGACCAGGGCTACTGAGACGTGATGTGTTCATGCTCTCTGGACTGCCAGTAACAGGACCGCGTACTTTACTCTGAAGAAAACGCAGAAGATTCAGATTGCAGTTATTTCCACCGATTTCCAGCAGCCAGGAACTTGGCTTTAATATTAATTAAAAATAACAGAGAAAAAAACCACCAGACATACTAAATTTACTATTAATTATTTCAGTAACCTGTGTTACAAACCATATTTTCAGGTTAAACTGTAGTTTTTATTTTACTTACACAAGCAATTTTCAGCAAGTTCCACAGTTCTTTCTGTCGTTTCTCCTGAAGCCTAACAACCGTTTCCTCATCTTCATTCATCAGATTCATCACTTTCTCCACTCTGGGGAACAATTCCAGTGCCTTCTGCTTGCAAACTACAGTTTTACTATTAAAAAAAAATAAAAAATAAAAAATCAGATCACACACGGGCAACTGCAGCAGGGGAACATTTCTGAAGTTTCTTATTTCCTTTCTCATTAGCTGTACATGCTGGTTTTTAAACCCCTAGAACAAAACCTCTTGCTAAAAGAGAAAATGCTTTCTCTCAACCCCTCCAAAAAAAGCTCATTCTACAAAGCTCACCTGAGCTGAGCATAAATGACTCGGACTTTCTTTTCAAAGGTCTGGATTGCCTGTAGAAGCAGTCGTACTATTTCTTGGCTGTCACCACTTGTCCTCTGATCTGGAATGAGAGTCAGAGTATTACACAGAAAGGCAGAATTATCGGACAGGGTGAGAAGATTCTTAGTGGCTTGTTTCCACTGCTGCTTCAATCCTGAAACATCCCAAGTTTGGGGCATGCAAGTTTGAGTGAATTGCACTAGATTTTAGCTACCTTCTTCAAGATGATGAGAATTGGAAAGCAGAGTTGGTAGGGTGGGTCTAATGCCTCGGGGCTGCATAGCTGCTCAAAGACCAGCTATGTCTTTCATCCTTCCTACACGGAAGCCGCAGCATACACTTGCAGCAACAGCTTGCTCTGAGAAGAGCTCCAGAGGAGTTTCAAGAAGCACTCAGAAGGTGCCAGGAAAGTAGGGCTGGCCTAGTTTAAAATTGACTCCCTGCCACCCCCCCAAAAAAAAGGCCAGTCCAGCAGAGTTCCTGTGCAGCTAGAGTATGGGCAAGCCTAGAAGGCAGTGAGTTTTCTCAGTGCTCATTATTGCATCTATTGTTACTATCCGCACAAAGCAAGCTGACCTTGAGCTAAAACGTTTTTACCTCTCGGCTTCTCTCTCAATCTCCGATACAGCTCTCTGGCTTGTTCTTCTCTAGAAGACAAAGGCACAGAACATAAAGGATGTCTCTAGAACCTAAATTACGAACAAATACTTCAGGAACTCAAATCTTTTATATACCAGTCTGCCGTTTCAGACTGATTACAGGTAAGGAGTCAAAAACTCTTTCAGTGTCAAAGTCCTCCCAGTCCCCCATAATTTGGGCTGAAGAGACAGCACTCTTCATTGCCCTGCAGTGAGTAAGCTTAGCTAGCAATACTCCTACATCTGAAGTTCAAGGTAGTTCAACTCACAAATCCTCCAGTGTTCCTCCTTGTTTGCGACCTAGTGGGCTTCTCTGCAGGTCCACAATGTCTGTCTGCAGGGCCATCATCCTCTTCACTAGCTGATCCACGTCATCCTCCTGAAAGCAGGGCAGAACATAAGCAATGGGAGCCTCGTACTAAGAGACACTACCACTCACACTGGCTCTTCCTTTCTCATTTCACATTTCTAAACACTCACATCGGCAAGATGCAAACAGCAGCGTTGGACACAGACAAATGAGAATATGAGTAATTTCAGTTCAAGGAAATTAGGTTGGTGCTCTGGGATAAAATAACTTCCAACAATTTTTTGATAAAAAATTGGAATGTGCATCAAGAATGGGAAATTATTGCCTTTTCAAAATTCAAGACTGATGCTTAAAATTCTTGTGTTCAATCATCTAATTGTTTGCTTTCCCATTCAGTTTAACCTATCTTCGATACCCTCTTTTCAGCTATCCTGGCTCCAGGATTGGGCTAGCAGGACATCGAGTGCAACCACTGCATAGTCTCCTCTCACATTCCCCAAGATCTCTCTTTTTCCCCCTACACCTTACAAACACAGTACGCTTCATGAAGTACTGGCAATGGACAAAAATGGTACTACCCAAACCAAGGCAATGTGACATCTGGAATCATCCTAGACACAGGAAATTTCTATTTAAGGAAGGACAACGGAGAAAAAAAAAGAAAATAAAAAGGAAAGAAAAACAAACCTCTTTTCCTTTAGGATAAGCAGTTTAGAAACATACCCGCCCGCAAAGTTCCACAGCTTGCTCCATCTCTTTCCAGGCAAGCAGCAGCTTCTCAGAAGCTACAGGAATGAAAGAAGAGTGATTGTTTTTTTCAGGTTCACACGGGAAAAGGTAGTTACTTTGTGAGGATAAGAGGCATACAAAGACCTCTGTTTGCCAGATGCTATACTCACTAATTCCAAATTCAATCTGCTCTTTATACTTCTCCAGATCGATTTGGATGCTTGTTTTAAAGAAGTCCAGCTTTGCTTTCAGCTGCTGGGAAAGGGACGCCATAGAATTCTTCATCTTCGAGAGGGTGCTATTGTAACGCAACAGATTCATCCTGCATGGACAAGGAAAAGGTCCTATTACCCTCACAAACTAAAACCACAGACTTCCCCTTATATCAAAAATAGTTACTTCAGAGCGTAGCAGTGAGCACAAAAGTCGTTGTGTCAGAGGACGGAACACTCAGCTTTTCATTAATCGTTAACAGTTCCACTCATGGGCTTCCCCATTCCAACAGGGTCCCCTTTCCTGTCCTTTCCCTTAGCAAAGGCAGAGATAAGTATTCCAGAGAAACTGCCACCGTACATGGCTGCTCGCTGCCCCTGCTGAAGCCGGTTACAGTCCTCTTTCAGCATCCTGATTGTGTGCCAGATCTGACCCCACACTTTCCGCAACTGGAAAAAGTGGAGATTCTTCTTTGGATCCTGAACTGGAAACAGAGGGGGAGGAGGGGAAGGGAGGGAAATGTACGTATCAGCATGAAGCCTAAAAGTAGTGTTATCACATGACAAAACAGACCAAAACATCACTCCTTTGAGGGGCACGTTACCTCTTGCAAAGCCTATAGCTTGCTAACCCCTATGCAGCTTCCCCAGTGTATCAGAATCAAACACCTCCTTTCCTCAGTTATTTTGACAAACTGAATGAATGCTATGCCAGTTCATTTTACTGCTTCGTCCGCCCCAATATGCCAAAGCTCTCTACTCTTTGCACATGATACAGAACACAGGCAGCCCTCTAAACACAGACAACCTCTCACATTCATGCTAAAGAAAGTCCTTACGGATGCAGTCGACGCTTTCTGGATGAGGACGCAAGGCAACCTGAGCCTCATAAGCAACTTTCTGGTTATCAAAGAGGAAGAGGAGGTCTGTGTCTGCAGCTGCAGTATCATTCACCTGCAGAAGACAAAAGACCCAACTAGGTTCTCTCAGAAAAACCAAGCCTCAGTAACACCATAAACAGAATGCTCCTCCTCAGCCAAAGACTGAATGCCAAAGGCAACAGGGTGCCTATTCTGCCAGGTCTGTTAGGTCTGTGTGGTTACTATGACAAAAGCCTGCCACAACAGCAGGGAGTGCTAAGCGAGAAGAGTGCCTGCTTATTCACTCAACAGCAAGGAAGGGAGGATCCAGACTCACCTTGCTATCAGCTATATGTTTAGTGGCCAACTTCTGAGAAAGCAGTGCAAGTCCAGCTTCCTGCAGGAGCTCCTGGTCCTGTTCTGGGATTCCCGTATCTGACCGGATCCTGGCTTTCACAGTCTGCAGAGTCTCCTCCTCTGTCACAGGGTAGGTGTGTACAGTTCCCGTAACCATGTTCAAAACATGAAGCAACTACAAGAAGGGTAATGTGACATGAGAAGGGCTGAAGATACATTGATCATGTTTGAGCAGAGATCCAAGGATTAAGATACTGGCCACTGATAAACCGTTCAAAGCACTTGCACGGCTCAAGAAGTCACTTTGCAGCCACTTCATAACATTATGCCATTGTCCTCCATCAACTGGAAGCAAGGCCACATGGCAATCAAACAGCTTCAGCTGCAGAATCCTCTACCAGAATATGGAACCAAGCACACCCAGACGCCATTTGATACTCCCAACAAGCTCAGGGAGTATTTGTCCTCAAATAAGAAAGAGGAAAGCACCCGTCATTAACTGTCAGGAGACAGCTAAATGAAATTCTGCGCTGGTCCTCCTAGGTCTACGATTCAAGCCTCTTCTCTCATGGGCTACAGGCAACTGCTCTCTGGAAAACTTTTCAGGATAATACAGACCCATTGCTCACCTTCAAGTTCAAAATGTCATCCAAAGCTTTGAAACACCCATTGGGTCCATATGTAGGATGGGTACCCCTCTGCCGTGGGTGCCACATTAACATGAGTTGCAGCCATTTCTCCAGTCTCCCAGCCAAAACACTGAAGGACCAAAACAAGAAGGTGATCAGAAGAGGTAAAAGTGCATTTGCAGACACCATATAGCCTGGCCTGTGCAGAAGGACTGACAAACAACTTCCCCACCCCCCACCCCATTTCTCACCCCCGATCACAAATGCAATGTTTATAAGGCAGAAACAGAGACTCACAACTACACAAGTCTGACAAGGGACACAAGCACTGTTTGTGTCATGCACTCAGTTTATTCACAGATTAACATAGTAAGGCATATAATATAAAACTGGTCCTTTTGCAGTAGGAACAGTTTATCCCAGCGTGGCATAACACATTTCTAGTCCTCACCTGTTTAGATTGTTTGGGCACGGTAAACTGCTAGAAAATTTGACTTCTCCAGATAAGTCTTCTGAAACAACAATATCCAGCTCGCTCTTCTGTCGCACTTTTGTATGCCTAATGAATTCAAGCAAGTACAATTGTGAAATAATCACCTGCCTTTCCCAGCCTCCATGTTAGTACGCTCTCAAAGCCACTCTTGATGGATGTAATACAGATGCTGCTTTGGTTTTGGCTACCCGTCCTGCAGGAGTCAGTCCTGATCCCAAAGAGCAAGTATCAGGAATGCTGAACTTGCTCAGGTAGGTCAAACTCCTGCGAAGGGAGTCAGTCTCCAGAAGGGCAAAGGAACATAGGGGTATTACCCTAAGAATCAAGGAACCACACTTCTACTTCCTGTAAATGGGACAGCTGCATTGCATGCACTCTTCGGATCAGCTGGCCCCAGCTCACTCACCATTGCACTGGCTGCCAGTTGGGGAGGAATGGTCGGAAGCCTGTAATGCACTCAAAGGCCAGTGTGCCAAAGCTCCAGTAATCCACCGTCACCGTATACTTCTGCTGTTCCAGCAGCTCTGGAGCCTGAGACAGTTTACACACACATGAGACAAAGCCACCCATCTCTTACCTCTCTCTATCCTTGAAGAGCTCATTAGTGTTTGTACAACAGATTAAAGGCGGTGCTGAACGCCCTGCCTCTCACGAGCTTTGAGATCCTCTCAGAGTGAACAGCAGAGGTTATTGGCACTCCTGCTTCTTATTTATAAACAGACATAGCTAGCACACACTGTGAAAAACCAGCATCAGCAAAAAAGTCACCTTTGCTAGCTGCAGCACCCCAAACACACCCCATACCAAGACAAGTACTTCATCCCAGCCCCAAGACTGATAACAGTAAACTCTATCCCACTGCAAAGTGGTAGCTGCTCTCCCAGCTGAATTCCTTCCTTACCAAGTACTGCAGAGTCCCAACAAATGATGTGCATAGGCTACCCTGATCCAACTCCTTAGCGTAACCCAGGTCAATGATTTTGTGTATTAACTGAAAAACACAACAGAGAATAATAACATTAGAGAGAAGTCCTGTTAAAAGCACACCATACAGCAGAGAAAGAAAAGGTTCAGCTCTTCAAAGGTGTGCACGGAAGGTGTCAACGAAGAGATGGAAGTGGAAATGGTAGGGTCCTGTAGATTCCTAAAACCACAATGTATGTAATGTTTTTATTGGCTTGATATACACAGAGCTGAAGACATTTACTGCTAATTCAGATCTTTGGTTAATCGGTACAGTCTGGTTAATTCCATAATACTTGGAAGTCAAAACATCAGGTGTTACCAGAAGTCTAATACAACCTTTCATCTCAGCTGCACACAGAATGCTGTTCATCTGACAAATACATCTGAGCTAGCTGTTATCCTGGGTTGAGAGCTTTTGCAGAGGGACCACTGTAACTGCATGAAGGGCACGCACATTCCTCTTACACTAAACTTGTCTGTGCAGGCAGAGACCCCTGGTTCCTGCTTACCCTTTGCTCTCCTTGCTGCAGCACAATGTTCTCTGGTTTCAAGTCTCTGTGGATGATCCTGTTCTCATGAAGGTACCTGAGAGCAGAAGCTGAGACACAGAAAAAGCAACTTGTAAGAGCGTAACCAAGAGTACCTGAAGCATGAGTTTCATAAGCATTCACTTCTACCTAGTATAAGCATGGCTTTTGGGTCCAATCCTGTACAATCAAACACACAGCAAAACACCAAGTGCAAGAGGAAAAGTCAGCGTCAAACACTTCTAGATACAAACAGAGTTTGCTCTCCAGGTCTTCCCTCATGCCCCTCTTGTAAACTGGACTAACATTGGCGAGCTTCCAGTCAGCAGGGACCTCCCCAGACTCCCAAGACCTTGGCAGATGATCGAGAAGAGTCCTGCCATAACATTTGCTCACTTTTTCAGTACTCTGGGGTGAATCCCATAAGGCCCCACGGACTTGTGAACACTCAGCTGATACAGCTGGTCCTTTACAATTTCAGTGTCCACAAGTAGAAAGTCACTGTTCCCGCACTGGTGGTCCCTCCAACTCAGGGGACTGGGCAGCCCAAGGTCTACCAGTATTATTAAAGACTGAGGCAAAAAAGCATTGAATGCCTCCGCTTCTTCTTCATCCCTATTAGTCAGGTGACCATCTTCAACAAGTATCGGTCCAATGTTTTCTTTAGACCTCCTCTTGCTATTAACGGACTTCGAAAAGCCTTTCTTGTTGTCTGACACAACACTGGCCAGTTTCAACTCTAATTGAGCTTTGGCCTTTCATCTCTTCTCCCTGCATTTATCAACCACAGCTCTGTAATCTCCCTGTGAAGCCTCACCTTGCTTCCTAAAATCATACAATTTCTTGTTCCTCTTGAGTTTCATGAGGAGTGCCCTGTACAGCAAAGCTGGTCTTCTGCCCCCCCTGGCTTGACTTACGACACACTAGAATTGCCTGCTCCTATGCTTCTAAAAGGCAGTTCTTCAAAACTGACCAGCACTCCTAAGCTCTCAAAAGCAGATTCCCAGGGTACTCTGCTAAATAGCTCCCTGAATAGCTCAAAATTTGCTCACTTGAAGTCCAGGGTAGCAACTCTGCTGTCCTTTTTTCTCATTACACTGAAAATTTTGAACTCAGCCATTTCATGATCACTGCGGCTAAGACAGCCACCTAGCACCACATCTCGCACAAGTCCTCCTATATTCACAAATAGCAAATCTAGGAGGGCATCTTTTCTAGTTGGCTGAGTGCTTGTGACAAGAAGTTATCTCCCACAAATTTCAAGAATTTCCAAGACCTGCTCATCACAGGAGTATGATATTCCCAGTTGATGTCTGGGAAGTTAAAATCTCCCATAAAGACGAGAGCTACCAATCCAGAAATTTCTCGTAATTGCCTACAGAATAACTCATCAGTGCTAACATCCTGGCTGGGCGATTGAGTGGCTATACTCACCTCTTCTTTACCTATCTTTTTCTCCCACATTCTTAACCTAGAATCCAAAAGCTGCTCCGCCAAACACTTTGTTCTGTCCTGTCCACAAGGTGTTCTTCTCCCCATTTCACCTGCAAAATTCTTCATAGAAAATTTCTATGCAACATTACTTTCTCTGCTCCGAACCACTGTGACTCCACAACTGGCAGACTGATGAATTCCATCTATACTGGAAAGACAATCTCATCTTAAGAATACACAAAGGCAGAATAAATGTCCTCTATTTTCTCACACTTGCTCAAGGTAATACCTTAATATATCTCCTCTCCTGTGGATAAAAAGACTAATCATGGTGCTAGAAAATTAAAACTTAGCAGTATTTCCAATTTGTGCTTTTCAGCCATGACTCGGGCCTGAGCCAAAAAGACACACTTTACTGTTCTCTGAGTGTCCCTTCCGACAGCATTGTATTCCCAGACAGAGCTCTCTTGTTCAGTGCAAAATGATCCAGATAAGACTTTCAGAAGTTGTCCACAATATAGCTGTCCCCCCTTAAGGACAGTAACCCTAGAAAGACCAACTAGGCATGCACTGTAAGTGATCAGGAGAACAAGTTATATCAATAGTCACAAGTATTTTTTTATCAGCTACAATTCAGATCATACAGTTGAAAATTTGGGTCTGTCCCTGTTCCCATACACACACAAGTATGTGAACACAAACTTCGCCGCAGACATGATCTGCCAATTGTCTCAGGTCAGCACTCAGTATCATTTCCTGGTCACTATGGAGTATAAGGATGAGGCAGCAGAATACAAATGCTCTGGGAACACAAAGGACAGGAGACAATGCCTAACAGCCACACCTGCGGTAAATGTAATGACAAACGCACGTTTATTCTCTTGCCACAGGCTTACTTTCTAAGTACACATCTGCCCCAAACATACTTCTTAAATATCTTCTTTCTAAAGCCTCGGCACATTTCCCGTCTTGCCTCAGTTGCAACTCCCTAAGATCACAACATAGCTTGACCAAAAAACTCCACCCAAAAAGCCTCTAGACAGCACTTGGCAATCTTTGTCCCAGAACAGTCTAAAATTCCACATAGTGGTTGCCCAAATGCTAATGGAAACCCACTGACCACACATACTCTGAAGTCCTGATGATCAGCTGTTAAGCTGAGGGTAGAGACTGATGTACAACATAAACCAAAGTCACCTGGCAAGTGCTAAGCTATCCAGAATCTTCCAGGAAACTCTGAGTGGCATTTTTGCTGGGCAAAAAAATCCATCTCTACATTCTCATGAACAAAAATCAAAGGTTGGCTCTCCCAGAGGGAGGGTTGACAAAGCAAGACAGGAAACAAGCATACTCTGCAAAGGTCAGTTTAAGATGGACTCATTAACGTCACTGCTGCATATCTTTAGAGCGGATTCGGCACTGAAAGGGCTTCCACAGTTCAGACAACTGAAGGTACTGCTACCACTTACCAATATCAGATAACAAGATGAGAATTGCTTCTTCCCGCAAACCACAGCAATTCTCCAGCTGATTCAGGTACTGCAAGGAAACAACACAGAATATAGTCTTTCCCTCTTATATCCCGAGTGAGGGTCACAGTCCCACAAACTCTTACGGCTACAAGAAGTTCCAGTAACAGCAATGCAATTTTCTAGAAGCACAAAACTACGGGATTGTGACCACCAGTAGGAGCAATTACAGCTTCGGGCCTCCGTCTAACTGCATGGGATGAGAAAAGAGTGGGTGAAAGAAGTCACCGTGATCCCCATTCTCCTCCTTCTACTTGCTTCATCCTTCATAGCCACTTCCCCTGTGCCTGGCCTTATCAGCTCAAATCTCAGTTCTAAGCTCTGGGTTTTATCTATGGGCAGATTACAGCAAAGGTTAGAAAAACAGTAAGATTAGAATTAACGTGTTATTTTTTCCTATTACAGATAGGAGTTAATCACTTTCAGGAAGGGTATAGCCCACAGATGTACCCTGCCCTACAACGGTCTTGGCCATACTCACATCCTGTTGCACATCCCTCACATATGCCCTCGTCCTCTACGTGCAAACTCCTCACAGCGTCACTTGTAGCCAAACAAATATGAAAAATTTCAGAAAGCACTTAAGCCTTCAAAAGCCAAACATAGTATCAACGACCAACGCACCAAAACTTGTTGGTGCCATGACAAGAATTAGGAAGAATCAGGATCTGAAGACAGAGGTTTTACAGGGAAACGTCAATAGAAACCCTGCAAAGCTGATCCAGCCCTCGGTGACCGTCCCTGGGACCTCACCTTGCGGAGGTCTCCGCCTTGGCAGTACTCCATGGCCAGCAATGGCAAATCATTTGGTGCAAGCTTCTGCATCCCTTCAGGGACGTCGCGGGCAGCCACCACATTGGGATGGTTCAGCCTGAGGAGTGGAAATGAGGCAAGTACGCATGATGAGTGGAACCAGGGTGACACCTGACAGATGATGGTTCTGCAACAGCTATGCAGTTTCACATACTTATGGTCATGCAAAGTCCTACACGGACATTAATCCTTTTAGAAACTGAACTACTAAATTCTAGAAGTCTGCACTTCATCCACCCTTCATGGACCTAAACTCATTCCAATTCCTCACATTTCACGTGCAGTCAGTGCATCCTTCAGCGCACGTGGACAAGACCTGCCTAGGCGCTACAGGAACGTGCCTTGAGAAGGAATGTGACAGTCTGTTGCCACCCTCCAGAAAAGACCCAAACCACCATCAGACCGCCACATCCTATAAAATTGACCGTCCTCCTGTCCTCGGCACTGGTGAGGACACACCTCGAGTGCTGTGTTCAGTTTTGGGCCCCTCAGGACAAAAAAGACACTGAGGGGCTAGAGTGTGTCCAGAGAAGGGCAACGGAGCTGGTGAGGGGTCTGGAGCACACATCTGATGAGGAGCAGCTGAGGTACCTGGGGGTGCTCAGCCTGGAGAAGAGGAGGCTGAGGGGAGACCTTCTGCTCTCTACAGCTCCCTGAGAGGAGGGGGTAGCGGGGGGGGGTCAGGATCTTCTCCCAAGGAACAGGCGATGGGACAAGAGGAAACGGCCTCAAGTTGCACCAGGGGAGGTTTAGGGTGCATATTGGGGAAAATTCCTTCATGGAAAGGGCTGTCAAGCACTGGCACAGGCTGCCCAGGGCAGTGGTGGAGTCACCATCCCTGGAGGTGTCTAAAAGACGTGTAGACGTGGTGCTGAGGGACGTGTGTTAGTGGTGGACTGGGCAGTGTTAGGTTGATGGTTGGACTCGATGGTCTTAAAGGTTGTCTCCAACCTAGATGATTCTCTGATCTAATCTTTTGGTTTAATTTTTGCTGCCGTTCACAGCTGGGCAGGTCACCACCGGGTGTGTCCTTCGGGTGTGGGAAGCCATGGCTGGGTTTGCCAACAGTCCTCTGCTGCAGGGCCTTCAGCCGATTCAAAAGCAGCCCAGAAGCGTGGGAGCCCTTTGGGGATCAGCTCTGGTGTCTGTTCCATCGCATCGTTCTATTTTGCTTGATAAGGGGACAAAGTAGTCACAGTGACTACGATATCACAAGGAAGCTGACACCCAGTGTGGTCCCTAGTCAACCTTTTACTGCCACACACAAGGTGAAATGCCAGGATCCCTGGTCCAATTTTGAGGCCAGCTTGAAGTCTGTGAAGGAGCATTAGAATCACAGAATCATGGAATGGTTTAGATTGGAAGGGAC